TATTCATGATTGAGTGATGGGGCTACACATTGGTCCTATTTATAGTTGTCCCAAGTTGCACTCTTGATGTGCTTATGGATTTTCTCCTCAGTCAACATTATCATTGCCTGAAAGTGTTCAGGCTTTAATAATGTGACTCCCTCATTATCTTCTCCTCCCTAGTTATGATCAGCTCACCAACTTAGAAGGTTGGCTTTCTTGTTGGCTGCACCAGCTTTGTGGTGCAGCATATATTGATATTGACTGAGTTCAGTGATCCATCTGGCTTGCTGCTGGTTCAGTTTCTGCAGTTGTCAGAAATATCATAGATTCTGATGGTCTGTCCAGATTTCAAAGACTTCAACTGTGCCAATTAAGTAATATCACCACTTCTCCAGGGCAAGCATTATAGTGAGCAACTCCTTGTCATATATCTCATAATTGCACTCCATGATAGTTAGCACCTTGGATAAGAATGCAATTGAGCACTATCAGCCTCCCTGTTCTTATGAGAGGATGGTGCCAATAGTGCCTTCACTTGAGTCTGCTTTGACATAAAACTTGCCTTTCTGTGTCAGGATGGTAAGTACCACATCTTCTGCTAGTTGGCATCCAAGGTCATTGAATGCTGATTGTTGGGCTGGGCCCTAGGCTCATAGTGCATTGCCAGTCAGCTGGATCATGAGGCAGACTACCTTACTGTAGTCTCAGATGAATCACTGGTAGAAGTTGGTGAAGTCTAAAAAGGACTGTAACTCCTTCTTCTTGGTGGACTCCAGCCACTCTGTTACTCCTGTGATCTTGACAGAGTCTATTCAGATACTGTCTTCACTGATAATGACTCTGAGGTATTTGGTTTTGAGTATCTTGAACTCACATTTCTCAGCTTTAAGAAATAATCAGTGTTTTCTTATAAGAGCTAATACTTGTTTGATCAGTCAGCAATGTTTCTCTTTGGTTTTGGACATGATAAGAATGTCATCAAGATAAATTGTAACCTTTCCAGTGGCAATAAGATTCTTGAAAATATCATTCATCATCCACTGAAAAGTGGCTGATGAATTGATGAGGCCAAAGAATATGACTGTCAGCTTGAACAACCTTTAGTTGATGCAGAAGGTGGCTTTCCATTTGTCACCTTCTTTGATGCACACATTGTTATAACCCCACCTGACATCCAATTTAAAATAATATTAGGCACCACAAAGTTTGTCTATTAGTTTCAAGATTAATAGAAGTGGATAACAATTCTTGATCATCATTTTGTTGAGCTTCTGGTAATCTTGTACTGGTCAGAGCTTGCCATTCTTCTTTTTGACAAAGAAGAAAGGAGAGGCCATAGGAGACTTTGATGGCCTGATCTGTCTGCTAGACAGATTCTCATCCAGAAACTTGTCAAGCTCCTGTTGCTCATTATTGTCAAATGGATATGTCTTGTAATCCAGATTGGCATTAGCATTGGGGATCAGCTCAATTGTATGATCCCATGGCTTTGAAGCTGGTAGCTCATCAAAGCTTTCTTTCTCAAATAGGTCATGATAGTCTCCTGCCCATTTGGGTACCATCTCTTCAAACATCTTATCTTTCTTCCCTGCATTGGCTTTTGCTGCCAGGTCATTGGCATGGTGCATTGCACAAGTGTGCATGGTCTTTTGCAGATCTACAGCAAGAATGATCTTGCCATCCTCCATCTCCTCATCCCATCAGTCCTTGGAGTCCTCATTGAGCAACTTGAATGGGATCTTTTGGCATCAGCATCTTGCAAAAGTGATTCATCTAGTCTTCCAGTTGATAAGTGAGTTGTGGTGAATCAACCAGTCATGACCAAGGAAAATCTCCTTGGTTCCTAAGTCTATTATAGCTAAGTTGAATCTTTCAGAATGATCACTGATCATGAGCCTGAGCTTAACAAATTTAGTGATTGAACCAGCTTGGTTTTTAGTACTATCCATGTTGTAAACCAGGATTGGGGCTGCCATGGCCTGAGTGGGGAGGTTGTGCTTAGTGACAAAAGCATGATTAATGGAGCTGCCAGTGCAGCTGCTGTTGATCAGAGCTGTTACCACATATATACTTTGAGACATGAGTGTCTCAATTTGGATCTTGGCCAAGAGGTCTCCTCCTGAGGTTTTGGATTGTCGGATGAACTTTCATGGTCCTCAAAGCTCATCAAGCCATTTCAGAGTGTGACAGCATTTGGCCTTCTTCATTCTCTTGATCATTTCATCAATCACTTCTTTGGCTCAAGCCTTGTGGACCCAGTTCTTGAGTATGGCTTTTGCCATGGATTTATCCTTCATGTCCTTAATTGCTCACCAAGTCCATTCAGGGTCAAATGGCTTGAGCCAGCCAATGGGGCTCTCTACCCCTGTTCAGCCTGTAGGCAGTTGAGTCTATTTTTTAGGTGATTCTGGTGTTTGAGTAGTAGTGTCAGGTATATTTGAATGCATGCATAATTTAGACATAGATGATACTACAAAAATGTAGTCAGTCTATCCAGCATCTGCTTATGACACACCACTCAATATTCTGGCTGAGTCAGCAGAATTGATTATTACTTGGCTCTGTCTTTTACCTCCTCAATCTTTGTCTCTGATCCGAGGTTCTCTTCCTCCTTCTGCAATTTGCAGATTTGTGTCTGGATGTCTTCTCAGATATGCTTGCTCTTCTTCTGTGAGCAGTCTCATGCCATGTGACCCTTCTGGCCACAATTGAAACACTTACCCTCCTTCTTGAGTTGATCCATGTCTATCAGCTTACCCATTCCAGTAAATGTCATGCTCATACCAGTTTTCTTCTTGCTGTATGAGGAAGTTGGGACTGAGCTGCCAGGCTTGGTGGACATGTTTAAACTGAAAAGAGTGAGCTTCATGCCCTGTCCTTGATGCTTCTGTCCTCCAGTGGACAAAATGACCTGTTTGGCCTTCTGTCACTGCCTCTCCCTATACATTGTAATGATGTGCTCTTTCCATGTGTCATATCTCTTTGGGATATTTTGTCCAAGATCCAAAATAATCTTTAGATAAAAGAGTGGTGCTCTCATATTCATGTATTTGACCATCTGGCCCATGTCTGTGGTATCATTGATATGCAGGCTATATGTCCAGCTCTATAATTTGCAAATTCTGCATAACACACTAGAATATGCTAGTAACTGAGGATCATTAGCTAGTAGAGGACTATGGCTGAGGCTCTAAGCTGATAGTCATGCTAGTCACCAATACTAAGTCCAAATTGGACTTTGTAAAAATAACATAGTCTAAGAATAAAAATCCCAAGTCAGGTTTGAACTTAGAAAAGTTTGACACCACACCTTAGAAAATACTAAGTTTAAGTTGGACTTAGAAATAGTACCTCAAATGGGGCCAATTCTACATGCCACTAAGACAAGTATATTCTAAGACAGCTAGGGGTATAATACCATAGCCAGTTGTGGAGTATTGAGTAGAGATAGCATCATCTAAGAGCAGTAAGAAGAGAGACCCAATGATCTGTGGCTAGCACTGTGAGTTTTGACTCAAATGCCTAAGTCCAAATTTCCTAGGTATTAGGTGATCTAAGGGACTTAGAATTGAGAGGAATAGAGTGGATAGGACTGGTTGACCAGGTCTGACTGGGCCTGATTGATTGAGCTACTAAGAATAACTCAGAGGATTAAAACTTTGAGTAGACAGAAAGAAGTTAGATACCCACAGGCACTATAGGTTTAAAATAAAGCTGTGCAGTAGCCAGGCAGGTCTGGGCAAGCTTAGGAGAGTCCAGGAGTGCTGCCATTCCAGAATAATGGCATGATTCTGCTTTAAACAGGAGAAATATTATTTTGAATGCTTTATTTATAGATTCAGTATCTGTTGTTGGTGTATAAAAGAAGAGAATGGGGGGGAAATAAGAAGCAAGTGACCCACCCCCATGTTCAGGCCTTCTAGCCCACTGTAGCTAGTCCCTGGGACAACAGATTTTGAGTTCTGCTTCGACTTAGTGATTTATTTAAGTTGCTTTATCACTTAGAGAGGATTGGATTGGAATAATAACTGTATTTTGGGTTTCAGATTAATTTGGGTTCCAAACTATAAGGGTTTCAGCATCAGAATACAAGTTCTTCAGTTTTGAGGACTGCTAGCCAGCCAAGAGTGCAGCTAGTCAAGCCTAAGTGCTTGATAGACTTAGTATTTGGGTTTTGGAGTTTATTAGGTCTTGGAATATTCTAAGTTGATTTGGAGCACAATTTGGCATTGATTCTAAGTCCTAATTATACTTAAACATTGCTATAAACTACTCTCATGAGTATTGCATCTTTGAAAGCAAGATAGAGTTGAATAACTGTCTTTATTGACTGTTTCTTTGATTTTATTTAAGACTGCAAGAGTGCTTCTATTGTACTCGAAACAACTGACCTCAACTGTATTTGGTGATTGTGTATTGAGTAGTTAGATGTTGGTGATTGAGAGTTCATTCCTCATTCACCTCTCTTAGTCACTTAGCTATTACTAAGCATATCATTATCCTGAACTCCAGCAAGTTTACCAAGTTGTTCCAGCTTCTTGAAGTACTTGGTGGCTGGTTTGTTGGCCATCTTGTACTCCTTCATCTTCTGCTTGTGTACTTTGTGTATGGCTGGATCCATGAACTTGTCAATGATCATCTGTTTGAGCACTATACTATGAACAGCTGAGGTTGCAAACATGTATTGGGAGGATGTTGTTTGGATAGATAGTGCCATGTAAATGGCTTGGCTGGGTGCTATGCTCAGCATCCATGGCATCAGTTGGATGTTGAATCTGGACTTGTATGTCAGTAGCAGCACTAGTTGATGTCTTAAATATTTTTTATTGTAAATAAAAATGGATTGCTTGGTGGCCACATATTGAATGATATCTGCACACTTGACTCTGTCAGTGGCAGTGTACCTTAGTCCTATGGACAACACCAACCAGGCATAGATGTCTGGGTCAGCCAGACTGCTGCTGCTGGATGCTAGGTTCAGTGTTGTCTAGTCTGAGGCAAGGAGAAGGCTGTTGCCCTCATTGCTGCTCTTCAAGGGTTTCATTCCTTGCTGCTTCTGCTGCCACTGCTTTGCAATATCTGCAGAAGTTTCAGTAAAAGCAGGGTCAGAGAAAGAGAAATATGATGCACCTATTCAGAACCTGTTTGAGGTCTCTGATGAGGTCAATTCCTTCCTTGTTGCCTCCAAGGTTTCCACAAATACTTGGTAAGTCTCTGTCCTGACCTGAAATGTCATCAGTGTCAGTAATGGAATTAGTCCCATATGATAACAGGTAGTCATCATTGAGGTCAAGCAATGCTTTTTAGTGGATGTCATCCATATGGATAATGCCCTCAGAGGATACTGCCTATGAGTCAGGCTCAGATAGAGCAGAGGTGCTGGATTCTCAGAAGGGAGTAGGAGAATCAACAAGGGTATAGTCAATGGTGGAGGTTCCAGGGCTCTCTGAGCCCCTTCTCCAGTCTGTCCTTTCTTAGGCTCAGAGGTACCATCTGAAGAGAGCATTCTCTCTAGCTGCCTGCTCTTAGATGTATTCAGTGAGAGAATCAGTACATCAAACTTCATCCTCTGGGGGGAGAACCAGATTGATGAGGTCAGTCAGTTGTACTATGCTTGGTGGGCCTTGTATGCTTCTTGCTCTATAAGCCTCATGGCATCTTTGACATTGCTCCACTCACTCAGCCTCTTAGGCTGCCTGCTGCTAGAATTTTCACTCCTTGCTACTATTATTTCTGAAGTAGAAGTCATCTGTTCTGATGACTTCCATTCAATTTCTTTTGCTGTTGATACTCTGATTTCTGACATATAACTCAGCAGGGAAACTCTCCTCACTGCTTGTAGATATTGCATATAAGGATCTGTGGTTGCTGTGTAATAGAGAATCTCTAGTCCCTTGAACCACTCCAGGGGCATCAAGAGAGTCTTTGGCATGGCATCCAATGCCAGGCTCAGAGGGTGCAGTTGAGGGGCTGGCTCTTGTAGTATGAATGCAGCTGGAGACATCTATATGCTCAACTCATGGGATTGGCATGTTGGATCACTGCCTTTAAAACCCTATAGCCCAAGAGTTGCTATCATTTCAGATGATTGCCATTGGAGATCAGAGTGGGTATCAATATTCTTCTTTTTTCTGAGGGCACTGTAAAGGTACATTCCCAGGCTCAGTTTCAGGTATGGTTCCTTCTGTGGGCTGGAAGGACTGTCAGGCAGAGGGAGGGATGTTGTGGAGGGGGAGGTCAGGGGTGACATTTCACAGAATCTGTCAGATATGTTGAAATTGTTGATAATGATAGATAGCCCAGACAATGATTGATTGATGTCCACAGTACAGCTGTATGATCACCAATAATTCTAACAATATTCCAATGATGGAAGCAAGGAGTTTGAAGAACTCATAGTCAAAGTTTGAGTCTGATGGGTTGATGGTAGGAGGCATTCAGTTTCTCAGCACAATAGGGCTTTAGATTGGCTTGAGATAAAATAGTGAAGAATAAAACTTTAGCTCAATGCTGAGGATACTACAGCAAGAGCTATGCTATTTATATACTAGTCATTGTCCATTTTATAGATATAACTACCTAATTGTGCATCCTGGCATTATAGAGCATTTTGTCCAGTATTGTTAAACTACCTACAAAAGAGTATTGTCTGTCATCAAGCAATTGCTATCATGTTAAAGGACAATGACCAACTAGGCATTGTTGTGATGACTAAGCCTGTCCCATGGTTTTAAGCACTAGTCTAAGCACTCTGACTAAGCTGAGATAGAGGTTAATTCCTTAAATAAAAGATAAAAATGAGAAAAAATCATAACAATATGTGATAAATAAATGCTGTATCAAGTTCATACAGTCACACTCAAGTTCACTCAATATTTGTATGATGTTATATCTCAAGACCAATGCAAATTGACTTGAGATAGAATAGTGAAGAATAAACTTTAGCTCAAAGCTTAGATTATACAGCAAGAGCTACACTACTTATATACTATCCATATTGTGATTAAATATATACCTACTAATTGTGCATTTCTGTGTTATATTATCTGTTGTCCTTGAGTATTGTTTGTTGTTGAAGAGCATTATTATTGTTGAAGGACAATAGCCAACTTGGCCTATTATGTGACTAAGTGCATTCTATGGTCCTAAGCACTAGTCTAAACACTCTGACTAAGCATGAATAGAGGCTAAAACAAGAAAGAAAGGTGAAAAATTATAATACCATTATGCATCTTTAGCATCTCCAATAGCATCAAAAGAGCTGAAGTTGCTATGAAGCTCATCTAAGAAGGCTATATAGGAGAATTGCCAAGTCAGCAGATTCCACAGATTGAGATTAAGGATGTCTGGCTCAAACCAGTCAAGCATAGTGCTGGTCAGAAAGGAGATAGCACAGTTGATCTTATTAGCTTCTATTGTGAATGTGGTAGGTCTGTCATTGAAGTTCAACTGAAGAGAGACAATAAAAATCTTTAGTTTGCAAGAGTTGAAGCTGTCAAAGGGTTCTGATTCTTTGACTTTAGTGTGGATAGTGGCTGGCTTTAGGTTATTGAGAAAAGTGGAGACTCCTCATAACAGATTTATGAATTCTAGAAACATGTCTTGCTGGTTTGGGTTGTTGCTTTCTGTAAGGCTATTAGAGCCACTAGAATTATTAAGACCATCTGATCCTTCTGAAAAAGGGTTTGATAGGTTACTATCTAGTTTCTGTTGGATGAGAGTATGAGTAGAGGTGTCCTTATATCTGCTCTCTGAGTCTGGACTGTCTGAATTCCTATGCATGTTATCCAGAGATAAGGAGTCTGTTAGACTCAAGCATCACATGAGCAGAAACATGTGATAAACAGAAGTCTCTTTGCACTTTGGGAGATTGACTGAGTTCACTGATGCATATTCTGATCAGTGTGTCACAAGACCTTTGGATCAGCTTAAGTATAGAATGGTATAAAGATAAACTTTAGCTCAAAGCTGGGGATTACCAGCAAGAGCAAGCCTTCTAAATACTATACAGATTGGTGCTAATTATACTGCTATCTATTATGTGTTGTCATATCCTTTATGCCCATTGTTCTTAAACATTGATACTGTACATAAAAGACTGATTGTGTATCATTGAGCAATACTGTTGTGTCAAAAGACAATAACCAACTTGGCCTAGTTGTAATGACTAAGCTTTGTCTCACAGTCTTAAGCACTTGCTAGATGCCCTGACTAAGTATAAATAGGGGTTAATTATAGAAAAGATGGAAAAATCATAATATTACCCCCTTCTTAAGACCACCATCTCAATGGCTCAATTTAGGGGTTAATTTATGCATTGTTTATAGTCATAAATGACCTCTGCCATGTTTATATACTTTTCATTGATCCACTGATTTGATTTCAGCTCATAACCTTTTCAGCTGACAAGGTAGTCCACTGTTGTGATCATTCTCTCACCCTATGCCTTGACTTTTTGGAGTTTATGATTTAATATCTGATCTATTTCATAATATTCTTTATTATTGATCAGGTCAGGCAGTGGAGGTGGAGGTTTATCTTGGTTGGGAAATGATAGTGTGATGCATGGCATTAATAGTGTTTTATTGAAGACATCATGAATTTTCCAAGTAGATGGTAGCCATAGCTTGTAGGTGGAGTTGCCAGTCTTGGCTAGAATAGAGAATGGCCTTGTTTGCTTGTCAGTGAGTTTTCATTTGGGATGTGGGAAGTGAAGGTTGGTCATATCCAACCACATCTTATCATTTATGGAATATGCATATACAAGGTGACAATGTTGGTCATACTGTTTTTTTATTGTTATGGCAGCCTTTTCAAGGGCTATCTGGGTTTCTTCCTGGATCTTCACTATTGTGGTGATGAAGTCTATGGAAGCAGGTGTGGTTGTTTGTTGTCACTTGGTTTTAGTTATATTAGGATGTCAGCCATAGTTGATAAAGAAAGAAGTCTTGCCAGTGGCCAAGTGGAATTGATTGTTGTGCTGAAAGGTGGTGAGCACCAACCACTTGGTTCAGTTATCCTGTTAATAATTGATGAAGAGATAGAGGTATTTTTCCATCTTCTGGTTTGCTCATTCTGTCTGTTCATCTGTTTGAGGGTGATAGATGGTAATGCATTCTGCATGATGTTTAGGAGGTGATATAGATCATCCAGGAACTTGGAGATGAACTGGGAACCCCTGTCAGATATGATAACTTGAGGCATCCCATATTTGGCATACATCTCATCACAAAGGATTTTTTGCCCATCCTTCTGATGTGAGTTCAGTGGAGCATGCAATCAGAATGATCATTTTGGAGAAGCAATCCACTATAATGAGGATGGCATCATAGCCATTGCATTCTGGTAGCTCTGTTACTATATCCACTGAGATGTGAGTCCAGAGTGCCTGAGGCACTTTATTGGGATGTAGGAGTGTGGCATAAGCTTGCATTGATGACTTTCCCCACTGACAGATTTCACAGACTTTGACATATCACTTGATGTCCTGCCCTAACTTTGACCACCAGTATTCCTGTAATACCAATTCTTTGGTTTTAGTGATTCCAGGATGTCCCATAGTTATGTGATCCTGATGTATAGTGATGACTTTACCTTGTAGTGCTTGATTCTGGGGGATATAAATCCTTCCATCATACTGGATCATATCATCTTCTTTGGTTATTCCTCATTTGTGATTTAGAGAAGGGGCTATATGTTGGTCTTATTTCTAGATGTCTCAGATGGCACTTTTAATTTGCTCATGGATTTCTTCTTCAGCAGGCATGATCATTGCTTGAAAATGCTCAGGTCAGATTAATACCACTCTCTTATTGTCATGTTCCCTTTGTGGTCAGCTCTTCAGCTGAGTAAGTCTGCTTTTCTGTTTGCCATCCCTGCTTTATAGTGCAGGGTGTATTGGTATTAGCTTAGTTCTGTGACTCATCATGCCTGCCAGCAGTTTAGTTTTTGCAGTTGTTGAAAATATCATAGATTTTGATGATTGGTCCAGATTTTGACTATCTGGTTGGCACCAATCAGGTAGTGTCTCCATTCCTCAAGGGTCAGCATGATAGCCAGCAGCTCCTTATTGTAAATCTCATAGTTCTGTTTGGTGACTGAAAGGGCTTTCAAGAGAAAGGCAACAGGTTGCTATTTCCTATCCTGTTTCTGAGAAAGTATGGCTCCAATGGCTCCTTCACTGGAGTCAGCCTCAATCTGGAATTTCTCTTTCTGAGTGGGAATTGTGAGTACTACATCTTCTGCCACCCACTATTTAAGGTCATTAAACATGGACTGTTGGGATGCACTCTAAGTTCAGGGGGCATTTCCTGTGAGCTGCATCATAGGATGGACTATCTTGCTGTAGTCCTGCACAAATCATCAGTAGAAGTTTGTGAAACCCAAGAAGGACTGGAGCTCCTTCTTCTTTGTGAGCTTGGGCTATTCAGTGACCTTGGCTACTTTAATGGGGTTCATTCATATGCTTCCTTGGCTGATAATTACCCTGAGATATTTGGTTTTGAGTACTTCAAACTCACATTTTTCTGCTTTGAGGAATAATTTGTATTTCCTTATTAATGCCAGTACTTGGCATACCAGCTTCCTGTGCTTCTCCTCTGTTCTTGACATAATTAGGATGTCATCCAGGTAGATTGTTATCTTCCCAGTGGCAATGAGGTCTTTAAAAATGTCATTCATCATCCACTGGAAGGTTGCAGGTGAATTTGTAAGCCTGAAGAATATGACTATCAGTTCAAATAATCCATGGTTGATTCAGAAGGCTGCTTTTCACTTGTCACCCTCTTTAATCCATACATTGTTGTACCCCTACCACATGTCCAGCTTGGTATAATATTTCACATCCTTAAGCTTATCCATTAGTTCTGAGATCAAAGAGAGGGGGTTGTGGTTTTTGATTGTCATTTCATTGAGCTTTCAGTAGTCTTGAACTGGTTAGAGCTTTTTATTCTTCTTTTTGATGAAGAAGAATGAGAACATCATGGGGGATTTTGAGGGTCATAT